TCACACTCACACTTAGAGCACCCTCAATACTAAGAGCTATTTACTAACTCTTATATAACTTCTCCAATAAAGTAAAGCAGAATAGGTCAACAAAAGGAAAATGCTGAGACTCTGGACGTCAAGCAGATCTTGATACTGATAAATAAACCTATTTTTTCTTCAAGGAGAGAATAATAGCACATTTGATTTGAGGAGCGAGATAATGATGGACCATTCGATTAAACTCCAAACCTAATTTTGTAGCGGTTTTAAAAAGTAGACTCACCGAATGCATCATTATAATCCAAATCTTTAAAACGCACACTAGGCCTGATTTGGAACGTGGGGATACATAACACAGGAATATAATAAATCACATGAAAGGAATAGAAGCGAGGTGTCAAAACAGATGATTAAAAAAACATAGAAAAAAGACATAAAGAGACGTTTGGAATGCAGGAATTTATAGCATAGGACATAGGAATTGAGAAAATAGGAAAGGTAAATAGAACATTAATATGTAGTGGCAGATTAACAGAGATTTTTACTCCACTTGTAATATTCTAAATCGAGTAACACTTACATGTGGGACCAATGGTCCATGGTACATGTGCGACGAGGCGAGACAGGTTATTTATGAATCTAACTTCAGCAATGGCTATCCTGAAGCAGAACAGAACAGGTTGGGGATAGAACAACGAAACACTGTCACACTGAACGTCAAGCGGATATTGATCCTACGATGGGGGACCACTACGGCCCTACAGACAGGAAAAGGAACAGAGGAGACGAAAGCCACAGATGAGCCACAAAAATGGGCCTCAACAGGCCAATTCTACTGGAGGCGCGAAGGCACCTGTGCTGTGTTCCGTCCGGTTACAGGCTCATTTAGGCTCATCTCGAGGGGAGCTACACTGACCCTGTCGTCCGTGGCCCATGGGGCCGACCCTCCCGGGCTCCCAGCATTTTTAGCATTTTTTCCTTTTTTTATATGTGAGGATTGGAGGCTCCCAGCATTGTTCCCTGTGCACTAACCAGGGTGCTTTCAACGTATAAAAAAGCGATAATGCTTGGTCATGGGCATCCATCCCATCCGGACACCATGCGCCGCACTCCACCCCGCCGATTTTGCCAGCGCTGCGGCTCGCTCCCACCTGCGACGCGCGCCTCGCTCGCGACACTTGCTCCCTCCCGTCGCGCGCCCGGCCCACCGCGGGCATCCCTCGATGCGTCCCCATCCTATGCGCATGCTGCTTCTGCTCTCCCATCTCTCGCTCTCTATCTTGCGCTCACTAACAGCAGAGCGCCACCCTGGCCTCTTCCCCAGCCCCCAACGCTGCTAGGATGCCTCGTCGCAGCCACATGTACCGATGGCCGCTGGGCGCACGTGCGGGGATGTGTTTAGGGTTGTCCCCGACCAAGCCAAGAGCATCCACGAGCGCAGCCGGATGCTAGTGGTGCTCGCACGCCGCCGCTTGCCGCCAGCTCCCACCCTCGAGGCCATAATCAACTGGCCTAGGGCTCCCCTCCCCTATGTTGCAAATGTATATTTCAAGTGTTTTAAATGTTTCAGATGTATGTTGCAAATATTTCATATGGATGTTGCAAAAGTAGATCTTGAATGTTGCATATGTTGCAAGTGTTTCAGAGGCATGTTGCAAGCTTTTGTTCAAAATGTTTCATCTGTTCCAGACGTATATTGCAAGTGTTTTGTTCAGGATGTCGCACATGTTTCACATATATATCGCAGCAGTATGATCCAAATGTCTCATCTGTTTCAGTCTTATGTTGCAGCAAGTGTTTTCATGTTGCAAGTGTTTTATCTAGATGTTGCATATGTTTCACACATATATTGCAAGTTTACGTTCCAGATGTTTTATCTGTTTCAGACGTATGTCGCATTCAAGTGTTTCATACTGCACGGGTTCCATGTTGCTCGGAGAGTCAGGTGGCGCGGGGAGCAGGGGAGTGATGGTGGCACGGCACAGGCGCCTGGAATTGGGCCGATGAGCCGGGGGGGGGGGCAGCGGATGTGGCGCCCGGCGCGCTGGAGGCCGGCGGTCGGGGCACGATGGGGGGCAGGGCGAATGGCCAAACGGATGGGGCGGGTCGAATCGAGGCGGACGGAGCGGATTGCGCGTGTGAGATGAGTCGTTCGGACGCATGAGCGCAGCGGCAGAAGCAAGGTGGGGCGAATTAGTGGACGGGAACAGAATGCGCGGACGTTCAGACGCGCTTGTCCTCCTGGAACGTTCAGGGCGCTAACCATGCTAATTAAAAAAAGGGAAACCATGTTGCTTCGGTGACTCTGTGTTGTCATTCTCGAGCAACGATTTTGACCCGTCTTCTACCGCCTTGGCGCCCTGTGAGTTGTGAAGCAAATGCTACTCGAATAAACCGTTTCCATACGACAATAATGCTTCGTCAAAAACATATTCACGTAAACTAAAGTATTGCTGGTGGCATAAACTGCATGCACTGAATATTCCTTTGTAACTCGCGCGTGAGAAATAAATAGTGATGGCAAACTCAACTTGCAGCACTTGATTGCATAATACGTATTGTTTTTTTACTTCTAAAAAAGAGAGGCGGGCGATAATAATTGTGTGGGTTCCGATGGATAATCCTCCTTCCGCAGTGCTTACTGCTCTCACCATCCTACTCAACGAAAGAAGGCAATATACTGACGCAAATCTGGTGAAAGTGCTAGCTCGCACGATATTTGTTAGAGACAGAACTGTACCCGTTTGGATGCGAACAAAGAGACATGCCGATGTCGCCTCCAGATGGCAGCCATTTGGACACCAGTGGGGTCAGCTTTGGCCGGGGACCAATCATCAGCTGACGCATTTCGGCCCCGGTTTCGCTGTGTCCGACTGTCCGGCACCGCCGCACCGGCTGGCAGCAGCATCGCAGCATCGGCTTCGATCTTTTCTTTAAAAGTTATTTTATACTTGGTGCCTGTTTAGTTGTTAAAATTTTACAAAATTTTTCAAGATTTTTCGTCACATCGAATCTTTGACGCATGCATGAAGCATTAAATATAAATAAAAAATAAAACTAATTACACAGTTTAGACAAAATTCACGAGACGAATCTTTTAAGCCTAATTAGATTATGATTGGACACTAATTATCAAATAACAACGAAAGTGCTATAGTATCATTTTCAAAATATTTTGCCAACTAAACGAGGCCTTGATGACTACAACCGTGTACCTGCAATGCATGTCAGGAAGAGATAAGCTTCCATCTTTTCTTTGAATGTGCCTTCAGTCAAGCATGCTGGAATACTCTCACCATCTCCTGGAACCTAAGTCTACCACCTCTAGACATGGTGATTGATGCTAGATCATATTTCGGCAATCCTATTTTCAAAGAAATTTGCATCACTGCCTGTTGGGTCATCTGGACAACGAGAAATGCGGTGATCTTTGACAATGCACAAATTAGTATCAATGATTGGAAGAGACGTTTCAAGGAAGAACTTGGCCAAGTGTGCACTAAAGCCAAGCCCTGCAGGCAAAGACCACTGAATATTTGGAGAGATAGCTATTCAATTTGATTGTCTTTTTCTTTTTGGGCTTGTAAGCCTTGTATTTTCCTTCCTCCTCTCCCCCTTTTTTGTACATGCTGTATATATCATTCTTTTATTTAATGAAAAAAATATAGGTAGAGATTCCCCTGCTGATTCGGTCAAAAAAAAAAAGAAATTTGAACCATTTATTAGTCAATAGCTAGAAACTTATGTATAATTGTTATGATCTTCTTTGTAACCTTTTTTGTTTCATGAACTTTGTTGTAAACACTGTAAATTTTTAATAAAAGCACAGTAGGGGCTTGCACCCTCCTGTTTCCTTTAAAAAAACATAAAAGTTATTTCATAGTGATGAGTCTAATAATATACCAAAATTTCAAATTCCACCGTCAAGGAACAAAAAAATTGACTTAAAAGTTAAAGCGAACATATGGGTTTATATAGTTGTGACCGTACAATGTATGTATATAGATTACAAAAGTAGTTACCTGCTACTCACATACTCACCGAGTCACGTCTTTGTCTTCCCGTACCTAGGGCTCGTTTGGATTGCGACTTGGCCTGGGGGCACCCGCCCAGGCAAGTCGATCCAGCCCCAGGCGCTGGAAATCGATGGCCTGGGTGAGGTCCCTAAGCCAGGCAAGAATCACAGGTCTTCAAAGCAAACAACCCTCTAGTCCACGTGGGACGGATAATTGAAGGCTCCGCAAGCTGAATTTTCATTCCGATGGAGGTATATCAGCCTTTTTCATCAATCCAATCTCGGAACTTCCTAGAAATTCTACTTTTCTTTAAAGAAGGATAGTATTTATTTCGATCTCTACATTAGTTATACACTCAACCCAACATAATTATAAGTTTCAATCTTTGGCTGAAAAACAAAAGCTAGCACAAAATCAAACATTTTCTTTTTGTTATTGTAAAAGAGAAGTGGTCAGTTAATTATGAAAATGGACATGTCGTACGCTGAATGGCAGTCATGGAATTTTTTCGTGAATTATTATGGGTTTGTCTCTAAAAAGCTCAATGCTTAATTTTTTGTTGTATGAATTTGTGTTCTACATTTCTCAAATAAAAATTGTGTTCTACATGTAATATAATAACAGTCTAAGGCCCATATATAGAAATAGAATTCGGGGAAAATCCTATAGATTGTATAAAAGCAAGTACTATTGAACAACATAGCCAGCGGTTTTCTTTACATTTTGGGGCTACCTGTACTACAGGTCTACTGCTTGCTGCATCACATCACATCTTTTCTTATTGAAAAGCTAATTAGCATATGAAAATGACCCATCATTAGGACAGTATATTCAATGATTGATGAAGACCGGATGTGGGCCAGCCGGCTACGCCAAGCCAGGACAGAGCCAGTACAGTCTGTCGACCGGTGCAGCGTTCCATTTACACCCTGTCGCTTCCCCGGCCGTTATCCACCGGCCCGCGCGGCGGAGGCGCCGACAAGGCGCTGTCGGCGACAGGCGTCAGCGGCCGCTCGTAGTACCGGCGCAGGACGCGTCGTGATGGTCGAAAAGCACGTCGTAACCGACGCTGCTCACGTTCCTCAGGTAGCAGCCGCCGTCGCTGGCGCCGAACGCGTACGTCTGGTGCATCCGCCACGACGCGCTCACCACGGCGTCGTCCCGGAGCGTCACCTCCGCCGCCGCCGCCTGCGAGTTCCGCAGCGTGCTCGTCGCCGCTCCTCCTCCCCGCGACCGCGTCTCGTCGAACCCGATCTCCACGCGCCGCATCAGCCGCTGCGACGACGTGCCGCTGCCGTCGCCGCCCAGGAAGATGTAGAGCGGGAAGCTCTGGTGCACCTGCTGCTGCGCGGACGCGGCACCGGCGGTGACGGTCGTGAGCGCGTCCGTCGTCTGGTTGATCGCCTGCGCGGTGCCGTGGCCGCTCACCACGTTCGTGTTGGAGAAGCCGAGCCGCTGCGCGAACGTGGTGGTGACGTTGCCGCAAGACGAGCTCAACCACCCCGTGGCCGTGATGTTGCGGCTCGCCGTCGCCTCGTACTCGCCGTCGATGCCGTCCGCGGAGTGCGAGACGATGCTGCCAGCCAGCTTCGGCGCGTCGTAGGCGACGAGACCGCCGGTGGTCTTGGAGCTCTTGGGGTCCAGCCACAGGTGGAGGTTGGCGTCCACGTACCACGACCTCTGCGCGTTGGTCACCGCAAACCCGAGCTCGTGGTCCTCGCCGTCCAGGAGCTTGCCCAGGAACGGCGTGAGCTCGATGTCGTAGGTGGGCATGTTGAAGGAGCCAATGCTGGTGATGGGCCGCCAGATGAGGGGGTTAATGCCGCCGGTGTAGATCACCGGGAACGGCCACACGGCGCCGACGACGTCGCCGTCGAGCAGGACGGTGACCTCGCGGAACGGCCCGTTCTGGTCGGGCGTGTTCATGTACCAGAACTCGTCGGCGTCGTGGGACGAGACGTAGACCTCGAGGACGGCGCGGTAGGCGTTCGGCGGCACGGCGACGCGCGCGGACTGCACGTCGGTGGCGTTCTGGACGACGAACCACAGCCCGTCGTTGAGCGGCAGGCTCCTGGAGACGGGGACGACGGCGTCGGCGGCCGCCGAAGGCGGCGAGGAGCGCGCGCCCGCGCCGCCGCGGGGGCGGAAGTAGAGGTGGAGCGTGAGGTTAGCGTGGTAGACGCCGTTGTAGGTGTCGTCGATGAGGTTGCCGAGGTACACGGCGAGCGTGGCGTTGCCGGCGGCGAGGAGGGCCGCGTAGCGGGTGACGTCCTTGGAGACCGACCAGGCCACCCCGCCGGGGCGGGGCTCCGCGGTGCTGCCGCGCAGGATCTCGGCGCCGCCGAGCCACACGCCGAAGGTGCGGTCGTACTGCGCCCCGCGGCACTCGGCGCGCCACTCGAGCACCGCGAGCGACACCGACGACGCGCCGGATACTAGGCACGGCGGCGGCGAGTACGCCGCGGTGACGGGCGGCTTGGTGAGCGTGAACGCGAAGGAGTGCGAGAGCAGCAGCGTGGAGCAGGGGCCCGAGCTGCCCCTGGGCGGGCGGAGCGGGCGGTCCACCTCGAAGAAGGTGGTTTTGGAGGACGACGCCCTGCTGCGGCGCGGCAGCGCGGCCTCCACCGCCGCGATGTCCTCGACGGAGAACCGGAGGTCGCGTGGCGACGGCAAGGCGGCGGCTGAGTTGGAGAGCAGAGCGATGCAGAGGCAGAGGCAGAGGCAGAGGAGGAGTGAGCGGTGGGCAGAGGAGGCCGTCGGCATGGCTAGCTCACCTCCTCACTCACTTTGCTTTGCTGTGGAAGGAAAAAGCCGAAATGGAGGCGTGTTGCATGCTAGTGTCCGCGTGAAGGCTGAGGATTTAAACCCGGCGAATTACAACGACGAAAATATATTATATATATATGATTAAATAAACCCGGGGCAATAATATCCATCATTATCTACAATCTAGGGAGGTGGCATAAACAAAGTATATGTATGGTATGTATGTTGTTGTGAGTGGCGTATAATGGCAACGCAAAGTACCTTGGTAGGTAGATGATCATGCGGCTTTTTGGGACACTTCGACTTGTCTACTAGTATAACCCATGATGATTAAACACAAAAAATAAATAGAAGAGAGCAGAAAGAGGGCCAGTACATAAGTTTTATGACTTTTTATCGTGTGCTTAAAGCACCGGGAAGGTGATGTTCCCCCAACGACCCCACAGCCTTTAGGTTTCGCCATGCAGCAAAGTAGCCCGTTTTATACCGGGACGCTCCCCACCTCCACTGGCTCGAAACCGTATCTGAATTTTAAGTTGAACGGTATGACTTGACAAACCATAAGGATTTGGCCACTTCACTAGTTGGTTAAACAAATCAAGCATGTTAGCCTGTTAGGTTGAGTACTCGTTTGAGATGTAGAAATTTCATAGAAATAATACAAAGATATTATACAAATAAGTAACATTGAAAAATCGACAGCCGGACGTCTGAATGGACCCTGCGTCCGGACGCCCGCACTTGCTTGAACACCCGCGCCAGCACCTGCTACATGCACAGGCGAGGCCCGCCCATGCCACTCCCCCGACGCTTCCCTGCTTCCCGCGCGCCCTCCACGCCTCCTGCACCACTCCTCCATGCACGGGCGCCCCAACAGCTGCAGCAGTGGTTGCGGCAGGTGACTCACATTGCAACATGCACAACACCCCTCGATCTATTATTAAAACATCCAGATGAAACACTTACAACATACGTACGAAACAGCTGAAACATTCAAAACATGGGTTTGAAACACTTGCAAAAACACATTAAAAACACTTGAAATACAATTGCAAACATATGCAACATCCAAATAAAACACATGTAACATATGTGTAAAACATATGCAACATCCAGATAAACACACTTGCAACATACGTCTGAAAAAACAGATGAAACATTGGGAACAAACACTTGCAACATACGTGTACAATCATTGCAACATGCAACATCCCTATCTACTTTTGCAACATCCGCATGAAACACTTGAAACATACCTATGAAACATCTAAAACATCTGAAACATGCGCTTGCAACATAGGGAGGCTAGGGCCAGGCAATTCCAGTCATTGGGGTCAGAGCCGGCGGCGCGCGAGCACCACCACCACCACCACCATCACTAGTAGTGTCTGGCTTGGCTTGGCCGGGAGGGCGGTCTTGTATGACGGGCAAGAAGCGGCGAGGCGGGATGGCCGGCGCAACGCGTGGCCGAAAGCGGGATGGGCGGAGTGAACGGCGAGGAGTGGGCGCTACGCGTCCGGAAAAGAAGGCTGCAAGGCGGGAAAGGCCATGGCGTTGAGAGAAGGCCGCGGGCGGGCGAAGCAGTGGATGCCTCCACGGCGGTCGCATGCATGTGGCAGTGAGAAAAGAAATGTCACCGTGTTTTCTTATTTTTTTGAAGAAACCACGTTATACCGAAGGTAGGACGGAGGAGGTCTGGTTGGACCTGATCGTTGCGTAGGCCCAGGAACGAACCGTCCGCATGGAACACTGCTGATGGATGCCCGTGTGCCAGCGTTATGGTAGAAAAATTCCAGTATTTGAAACGGCGCCTGAGTTTTTTGTTGGGGGGGGAAAATACACCGTACTGCAGACTGCCGTTGATAAAATAAAAGAAGACATTCCGTTACACTTAGATCCGGAATAAAAGCCACCAAACGATTCGGAGAATTTAATATCCGTGCGAGTGCGAGGGACCCAAAACAGCTGCATGTGCACTCCCAGGTTCCACTCATTTGCAACTTTGCAAAGGATGAGTCAATACTGCGTCGGACATCATCATCAGCAGGATCACACACACACACACTTGTGCGTGTATATTGTATAAATAAAACTCGTGGTTCATAAATAATCTGCATTTTTCTGTACTAGTACTACCTAAGCGGAAACTGTCTCGGCTCGTGTTTCTGTTCCTGACCGGATAGCTACTATTGTCGGCCGCTCCTCGTCAGAAGACCAAAGACACAAGCTGTCCATCTGGCCACAAATCAAGGAACAACTCAGCATCAGTCTGAACATGTGGATGAGTACGTACTGGTACTCGTCTAGCAGGTAGTAGAGCTAATGTCAAAGATAAACTTGAGTACTTGATCATTGGTCATCCGACTTGTCAAAGAAAAAGAACCAAAATGTATCGAGAGGGCTTAGATCATACTTTTTGATCTCCACTAGTCCGACAGACATAGCTTGAGAAAACCTTACCTAACACAGAGAAAACCTGAGAAATAGACCTGGCTCAATGTGGACACGCCTGATGGACATGGCCAAAAATTTTAACCTGGTGTTTTTTTTGTGGGTCTGATGATCTGACCGTACCTAGCGTGTGATCAGGTCTACAAAACAGATGCTCCCGGCCGCGGCTGCAGAAGCGGTGCAGTGCGTCTGAACGTAGAAATTGTTCGAGAGCTATATGCTGGAAAGTATACTAAGGATGGTGTTTTTGTTTTACTAGATGACAGGGCAATGGGGACGGACGAGGTTAAAACTGTTGTTGTTCAGCAATAATCAGCTAGTAGCCTAGCTTCTCAATTCTCATCATACCCACTGCCAACCGCCCAACCCACTGCCACTGGTCAGTTGTGCTTGTGCAGTGCAGTAGTGCACAAATGGAGCCTCGGCCTCCGTGGATTAGCACGTACAGTACATAATTACTACAAACACACTTCAGGCATGCATGCACATGCACATGCACATGCACGCTCGGCCGGCTAGTGCAACCACCACTCGAGTGGGGTAGTTAGATTCGCACGCACGCAGACTAGCATTATACGTTTCATTATTATCTTATGGCATGGCTGCAGATCATTTCCCACTCACTCGCAGAACCGCGAGGGTGGATCACGAAGGGAGGCGTGGTCGCTCCGGCAGAATCGATGGATGGATCAGCTGGCGACCACTCGCGTAGCGTCCAAAAGGCTATAGGCTGGAACGGATCCAGGCTTCGTTTTCTCATCTCCCGCTGCTCTCTGACTAAGAAAATAAATAATCTTCCGATCCGATGGAGATGGATCATATCGGTCCCGAGTTTGTCAGCTGGCCGGGGCAGCCACGCAAGCGGCCCGACGACAACGAGGCCGAGCCATGCTCCCCAGGTCGCGCGCGCAGACGGGGATGGATCGGGCCCCGACGGCGGCTGCGCACCTACCGCGACGCGCCGTGCCTCACCCCCAACCCGTTGGGCGATCAGATGGGCCGGGGTGGAGCCCGAGCCCGAGCCCGTCGACGCCCCACCCGGAGCCGATCGATCGCGGACCCCATGCATGCAATGCAAAAGATGAAAAGAGAGCACGCTCGATCGCGACGGCTCGCCTAACGGAAACACCGGATCTGAGCTTGGCTTTGTTGGCTTGGCCAAGGGATGGATTGTGCCGTGGTCGTGGTCGTGGTCGTGGATATACCAGGATGAGGGCCGTGAGGTGTGCGCTCCATCTTGCCTCTTCCATTGCTTCATTCTGTTCTCCTTTGCAAGATTCGAAGACCTCTTCTCGTGACCATGCTACTGCTGGGATGCAGGTGCGATCATGTGGATGACCATTGCACGCGGCTTGTTGGAGCAAGCCAGTCCAATGGATTGGATCACTGAGAAAAGTGTGGCAAAATGGCTCTTATTGAAACAGCATTTGGTCTTTCAAAAAAGATTGTTGGCATAGCAAAGATAGCATTAAGAGGGTTAAGTTTCACTTTTGCTAGCTCTCGATCATGTAGATCAAGTGTTCCCATCTCTTGCATGCTCCACAATTTAGGGTGCATTTGAATGACAGAAACGTTTCGGATTCTCAGGTGAATCACCAAAATCCCTGCCAAAGACACCTTTTTCCGTGAAGCGATTCTCCGTGAAACACCTAGAAACGTTTCTCTGTTTTTAACCAGGAATGAGAATGGTATCTTTATCCTGGAACCTAGGAGAAGATTGATGATCCACGTCAAAGCATTAGCCAATGTTGTCTCCTCTGTCCTCATGGCAGAGGCTGCTTCCCTCACTCTTGCAGGCATTATCACTTCTGCATTACAGATTCAACATATTTTCTTCCTTACTGACAGCCAATAAATGGTGAACTTCTTCAATGGACAAGATCACTCAAGTCCACCTCATTGGGAGATCAAGCCACTCACTCAGAATTCCGTCAGCTCGGCATGATCAACTGTTACTGAAGGTCTAAATAGCATAGTCACCTGAAACCTTGAGCAAGCCAGGTAGGTCTACAGAGATTCAGAGAGCATGAACGAATACACAAGAACAATGTGAGTGCAGGCATGGCCATTGATGTTGATCGCACGGTAAAGCTGTATCGCAGGCCTTGTTGCTCAATCTACTGTGCTGGACACACAAGGTGGAGAAAGCAATGGGCCATTGGCGAAGATATCACAGATGAACTTGCTGTCGGTAGTGGCTGAGGTACATCCAACCATTACCTTGTACATGTACAACACAAAGAATTAGCATCATTTACGAATAACTCAGAATTTCTATGAGAGGACAGCCACATTGATTTTGGAATACACAGAAGATAGAGTCTAACTGTGCAAAGAACGAACAGAGCTCACAACTGGATTGTCCAATCCAATCACCAGTTGTTCTGGTAACAAATGAAATGATAACTAGAAGCATAAAAAATGTAAAGGTTTCTTAGTGACGTAAAACTGGAATAAAATAGTAGGCTAAATAGGGTTATTTGTCATGGTAAGATGGTGGGGGTGAACTCAGGGGCATCCATCAAGGTCATAGTATGCATGGCGGC